AAAAGAAAGTAATTTCATTTGACATAAATATTTACTAACATTCTGTGTGCTTTAATGTTCAGCCAGACAGAAAACTGAATCCAAGCTTGTTCTCAAGTTTAGGCAGCATTGGAACGACAAAACCACGTCAAGGAACCAGTAACTGATGGATGCAAGTATACAAACAAAAACATTTTCCAGTTCTTTTCATCAAAAGATTTTCCCTCTCACAGCATCTTTGTGGATGATAAACAGAATCGCTTTTGATCGAAGGCCAGCTATCCCTTGCTCATTCTATCCAAGAACCATTAAACTTTCCACTTTTTGACCTGCATGTCCCAGAGGAAAACCAACACAGGATTAAAGTGTTACAAATGAAGTTATGTGCCCCTGAGGTTACTGGCTGGCGCATGATACACCAAGCCTCAACTATCATCCCACACACACACACGCACACACACACATTTTTATGCCATTAGTCTGACAAACTGTAGTGAACGGAGAACGCCCCAGGCCTTAAAATCCCATGCGTTATCCATTTTCCACACAAATGGAGTCCATTCATAATGGGATACTTTAACTTTAGTATTCAAAATATGCATCAGATGTTTTTGAAGCTAACCAGTGGAGATCTTTGAACATGTGGTGGTTGATACCAAAAAACAAAGCAATTGTTCTAAAGCTGCTCTGGAAGCGACACTTTTTCCTTAGATCAAGACCTAACTGCAACAGCAGACGAGCTCTGGCTGGCTGCGCCATATTTTGGTGGACAAATTATCCAGATTGGTTACAGATGTGAGTTTTCCCCAAACAGAAACTGCCTTGCCGGAATGACATCATAGGGATATTAATGCATACACATGAGAGAGAAGCTCTGGAAAACCTATTCTGCTTAAGGGAATTTTGGAACGGACACAACAAAAGCTAGTTAGTTTGGTGATCTATATTTTTTGTCATATTTTAAACACTTGAAGCAAGAATATGTAACATAATATTGCTCTTATAAATAAAAAGTTCCTAAAACGTTCCCAACTCACTGCACTATTTCCAGCTACAGCCTAACTTGGTTTGGTATGATCTGTAGCTTATGGTGGCTAATGTTAGCAAACATGAAATATATCAGTATATATTTGCAAAAATAGAAATCTCTTTAATGTACTTCATGTTTTTTTGACTGTTTAATCCAGGCATTATCAATCAAACTGGTGTTGGTTCATTCAAGAAATAAGAATGATGTGTATCTGTTTTTGCTATTGAACTCTTATTATGTTGGTGTCACAACCGAGACACAGTCAGACACAACTGAGTTTTGACTCTTCTTTACTTGTTCTACAATTACACTGCATTTTAGCATTTAAAATGAACTTGTACAATTTACCAAGGTGGCTGCAGATAAGCAAAACTTTAGTTTCAAAGTTTGAATATGACACAATTTCAACAGTAAAATAAGCACCTGTTTCATCATTATCAATTTAACAATAAAATGGTCTAGATGTTCTGATATCTAGTTATGCATTTTAACAGCTAGAAGAATAGATAATTATTTGATCTATGACCTTACATTTCTAGTGTTAAAGTGTGAATAACCATGGCATATACGGATAGACATCAGCCTTCCTTTTTCTCACAGAGTAGTCAGCATGGGCTAAGAGAGATGTTGGTTCCACCTCAGTCCATGTTAACAACTGCGTCTATACTCGCCACACCCCTCTAATGGCCTGTGGTTATGTAAGGGAGTGGGATGTATAGTGCTGAAGCTGCTCCCGAGCCTGACTCAATATGCCCTGCAGGGTTGCACAATTTTAGGCCAGAACTATTCATCAAACATTATCTTTGGCACAATGAAATGGAGCTCTAGAGAATGACTCCAATGGAGCCCATACAATCAAGCCTGTCATTTAAAGGCTACACATTAATAATGGTAATCATTTTATGACAGAGGAGCTCCTTTGTTAATTTTAGCAAACGGTATACTGTGCACTTGTGTCTTTGTTCATGCTTGTTATATGCAAACTCTGTGGAGCTGTGCATGTACATGTCTCTGACTCACTCTTACAATGGGGTTATTACCACTTACAGAGCAAGCAAGGCACACCCGTCAGAGTCCATTGTGCTCATGAAATAGTTTCTTTTTTTTTTACAAAAGAAATCAAGATGTTGTACTGAAAAGTCACTTCTTTCTGTAACTTAGAAAAAGATGGGGATGCCCTTTGTTTGGGATTACTTACATCCCCTTTCTTTGATTTACCTTTCAGCCCCGAATTCAGCACCGGTCCCACCCACAGTGGACAGAGAAGTCGGTGACACTACCATGAGGTGAAGAGAGACAAGAGGAGGGGGCTGCTTGGGTAATGCTGGGAGGCTCTAATAAAATGTAATCCTATTATATGGTTCCCACTAGAGGGCAACAATAATAAAGGTTTCCCTAATAACACGAGCAGACCAAACTCAAATGGAAAACAGCTCCTCCGGTCAAGTCCCACACTTGTACATATATCCTCTCATTAACCCAATTGCTGTTGGGCCACATTACACCGACAGGCCTTCGAGATTTAGCTGTGATGGCGAGGCAAGAGTTAAGTCAAACAAATGTGTTTCATCAAACTGCAGTTTGGGCTTCTCTGCATAAAGGAATTGAAGGGGGGAGGAGGAGTGAGGGAATGTGTGCGGGTGGGAAGTTGGAAGGAGGCCCCGAGGAAACCAATCAGAGCTTATCCACCCGCCCCTCCTGAGTCAAAGCCACCGGGGTCTCAGGTGTGTGTTACATGAGCTAATACCTTCCAAACTTGATTGTTTGTGTTAGAGTAATCAGAGTTTGGCAAATTACAATTTTGGAAATGATAGTCCTATCATTGGTGAACAAAATCACGGTACAATAGAGGAACACCACAAACTTGAAATAAGAATTGATAGTTTAGCAAACTTACAAATGATGATGAAGTTTAATATTTCCTCGTGGGCCTGAGCTAAATGAAATATGTCTTAGTAGTAAAGTTACAAAAAGCTGGAATTGTATCATATCAGCTTCTTTACGAGCTGTTTCGAAGTGACTTTCTTTCACTAATATTAACAAGAAATGACAATATCCCTACTGGAAAAAGACATAAACACAAACTCTCATATTTATATAATTTGATAATGTAATGAATGAGTTATTCCACTTTCTAGCTATCTTGCATAAATGCAGTGAAATATTTATCATAAGTGACAAGGTGAGTGAGAATATCAATCATATTCTCGAGACAGCTTGAGTTATTAAGTGAGCAATGTAATAGTATTACAAAACCAAGAATAACAAAGTTATTTATCTCTCTTTCTCTGTGTGTGTGTGTGTGTGTGTGTGTGTGTGTGTGTGTGTGTGTGTGTGTGTGTGTGTGTGTGTGTGTGTGTGTGTGTGTGTTTACGTGTCTGACAGCATCAGACAGAGAGAGAGAGTGTCGCATGCCTTCCTGTTCCTGTACCACCCTCCAACCCCAGAGCCGCAGACTCAAGGCAGTTTCCAGAATCAAACAATTTCACGCAGCTACTGGAGGAGGAAATGAACTGAGCCCAGAGCAATAATAAAATTATACAAATGTTATTACAGACTCGCCTGCTACTGTCCTACTTTAATTCAAATTTGGGCACTGCAGGCGGTGCTGGTGGCAGAGACCTTCCTGAATAAATCAACATTAGCTTACGTCTAAATTATTAAGGAAGTGGGAGACTTTCTTGTTTATAGTATGAATTATTAAACAAGTGTTTAACGCTGTTTTTCTTCATGAATCCCCAAATATTAATTGCTAATGATCTTTAAGGTGTGTGTTTTATCTTTTACCCCTTCTGTTGTATGCTGGGAATTGAAAATCTGAATGTTCAAGTCACAAGAAATCTGCTGTTAGTTAGATAAGCATGAGATGCACTTCAAGATATACTTTGCTGGCATCTGTAAGATGTGCAAATGAAACCCAAGTCATAACAATAATCCCATCATATAGGCATTGTTGGTATTTGCAATGACTGTGAATGTAGATTTATGAATTATGGAGGCAGCAACTGTGAAGGCTGTCCATGGATTATAAGTTTTCTGCTCAACCTCTCACTGATAAGCCACAATGTTAACAAACGGACAGCTTAAAAAAGTGATGGTCTATCATTTGCTGTCACATTTTATTTGCCTTGTCCTAATTGACATGTCTGCAGCAAGCCTTTGGACATTTGTCACAGAGAGGACATTTTTCTCATAACATTTTAGGATATGATTGGCACTTTGCTCGTTTATGCAAGAATATGAAAATGCATTACATGGAATTTCACCAATGTCTATCTCCGTATGAACACAGACGCATACAAATATTTGTATTCTCAGTCACTAATATGACATTCATAACAAAACCTAATTTCAAATCCAACAGGGACTGCTCTCCTCACCTGCCTTCCCTTATTTTAATCTTCAGATGAGCAAAGGCTAATAAATCAAAACAGAGTGAGCCCATTCACCATCCTCTGTCCCAAGAGGAAATAGTTAATGCATGAAGCATCAGATTTACGTACTCATTTATTTGGGCTATAAAGATGATTAAAGGGAGCTGAGAGGTTGTTGGCCTTGAGCCACTGAAGCCTTGAGCGATATAAGTAGCCTGCCTGCAGGTAAAGGAAAGTGCTGCGTAGAAACATAGTGATGTCCATTTTGAACCCCAGTAGGCCGTGAAGAACAGAATGTGTTAACAGAAACAATCTCACACCACTATTATTCAAGAGTTAAATCTGTGAAAAACAGTCAGGATCCATTTCAAGTAAAAAAAGGGTCAACATTTCTAATATGTCCAAGGTTGAGTTAAAAAACTATTTCACTATGAGTTTGGGCTTCAATTGAAGTACTGGGGTAATGTTAGGGAGGCGTGTGGTGCAGTGGGTTGAGCGTTGGTGTTCGAATCAAGGGGTCACAGGTTCAAACCCCACTGCAGTCAGCGTGTCCCTGGGCAAGACACTTCACCCCAAATTGCTCCTGTCGGGATTGTCCACAGTATTGAGTATGTTAGTGGCTTTGGATAAAAGCGTCTAACATGTAATGTTATATACGTATAATTTCTGTGTAGTTCTGAATAAAAAAACGTTGACAATTTCAAATGAAATGTGGCTTAAGACTTAAGAATACAACTGATTTATGTCTTCCCATGGTTGCAGTGAGACCTGTACATCCAAGGCTCTTGGGTGCCCTCCCCTGGAGAAATACAAATAGGAACATTATTCCAGAGCAGGTGGTTCACACTGTGGCCAGTAGGTGATGCTGTTGTCACACAAAAAGACTGCACTTACATAGGGAGAAAGGTGAAATAGGGGAAGTGAGTCAATGTAGGAGGAAAAACCATTTTGATTCAGTATCTGAAATGTACTGGCGTTGTGGCCTCGAAAACCCAATATAGTTGCAGCATGTAGACAACACCAGTTGATGCAGTAGGGTCAGTGAAGCTGATCATTTCCTCTACATTACAGAAAAATAAATTGAATTGCACCTGTTCTTTCAGAAAAGGAAATAAACCTCAGACAAAACAGATTGCTTCTATTTCAGATCACAAAGTGGTATCATTTCCTGTGCTATCTGCTGATGGAATGAGATTACATGAAGCTATTCTCAGAGACTTAACTCACAAGGATCACACATCCTGGACATTTATCTGGCCATAGGGAGACATCATCTAAGGTAGATGAGCCAATCCATCATTGATCTGAACATTTCCGCTCCCCAGTGCCCAGCTCCTACGATCAGCAACAAGTAGCTCAGGTGAAAAGCCTTTTGGGGATGGCCACTAGATTTATTTTTGATTGTAAGGAAGATGTATTTCTACAACTATCCTGTTTACATAACCCCAAAAGTGATCAAATGATATGATGAGGAGATAAACAAAAGGAACTTTATTAATACTAGTTAAGATATTTTACGTATTCTAGCAATTCAAGTGTGTGAGCTTAAAACAAGAACCTAGCTAAATGCAAAATCATAAAGACATCAGACAAACATCTCAATAACAAGTTAAAACTTGTGTTTGAAATAAAGTGAAATATGAAATGTGAAATGTGCTAAAGGAAGATAATCTAGGTCTATACAATAACAACAGCTAACAATCACATTTCTTACGATATTGAAAAAATAAAATGATCATTTATCAATAATCATAATAAACATCAAAAAGTGTTTCTATGTCCATGCACTACTTTTTTCCCTGACTAATGCACTGAAAATAGAGAGCAATGTAATAAAAAACCCTGGTTGCTTAGGACCTGTAATGTGCTTAATGATTAGAAGAAAATGCTCTCCTGTTATTAAATATAAAGTACATGGAACAAATGTGACACTAATTCAAAAATAACAAGCCTGCATTTTCTTCTTCACATCTCCAATTCAGCGTGATGACCCCACATAATTGGTTGACCTCACACATATTTGTCTTCCACAATGTATTGCGGACCGTCTTTCTGCAGCGTTCAATGTTCGCCACATGCCAACACAGCTACAAAAAAAATCATTAAAGGAGGGCTTCAGGAGGAGTATTGAACAGTTTTTAGATGTTTGTGGGATTGAGCCATAACATCATATTCGTTTTATGACAATGAGAATCATTTAGACTTGCTGTAAGGCCTCATTGACAGAAATTATTTTCTGCTTTGTAGGGGGACAAGCTCAAGATGGATCCTCCAAAGTTTGATTGTCATTGTGCTCTAAAGATTGGTCTCCATTTCCAGTGCACGTGATAGTCATACTGAAGACAGCACTTCTCCCGTTGAGTTCAGGAAAGGATCCTTTTTCTCAGATTTCTCCAGATCAATAGTGTGGATAGATTCCGGCTTGATGGCAATGTCCTCTGTCTCCACCTCCCTGTATATTCCTGACGGGTCCTTCTGGAAGACCTGCTTCAGCCTCTTCTTCGTCTCAGGGTCAGGGCAGTACAGGTACTCATACAGGCCAGCAGCAAGTATGGCACCCAGTATGGGTCCCACCCAGTACACCTGCAATAACAAACACCTCAATTAGCCAGCTGTTAAATTTCTACCCATGGGAGATGATTTATTAAAATCTATAAAAAGCGGCACTGGTATCGCTATTAAAACTGCCTTCGGTACGCTACAGATTTGGAAAAACAGGGTCAACCTGCATAAGAAGCAGGTAGATCAGTATCTGCAGCTTCCTGCATTTGCCTCCAAGAAAGGACACTTCTGAATATGATACCAGCCACAGTGACAGTTACTGCCAGTGTTAAACCCAAGCACACACCACACACACACACACACACACACACACACACACACACACACACACACACACACACACACACACACACACACACACACACACACACACATCATTGACACCATGTTGTCTGCAAATAGCTCAGTGGAAATAATTGCCAGGATACAAAAATTCAGCGCTAATGCTATTTTACACCTCTTTCAGTGACATCTCATTATGTAGCTGGAGGATGAAAATGCTGTAAGTTTGTGAGATTTGTTGGCACTTTCTTCATTAGGTGAAGTCAAATATTAAAGGGCCATATGTTCCATTTTTTCCAGATTTTCTCTTTGCATTCGGTGATATAAGTGTAATACCATTCTTTGATTATATTTTTAGGTGACAGCTGTTTTTACTGTCCTGGCAATGGTGCTGGAAATGCGACCTTACCAGGTTTCAAAATTGTTAGCCTACTGTAGAGCTTACTCTCTGCAGGTCATCATCATGTTCTACTCTCAATCATTTAAGAACATTTTGACATGTTACCATGACATAAAATTATCAGTGAACTGATATATTATACTTGAGTACTACATTGAATAAATGGCAAGCCGAACTTACGCAGACACTATCTGGGTACATTTCGCCATGCAGACTACTGGACGAAATATAATCCTTTTAAGCAAGTATCTCTTACCCAGTGGTTCTCAAAGTTAAGAGTGACCAGTGCAGGCGCGAAAGATCGAGCAGGGTTCATGCTGGCTCCTGTCAAAGGGATCTAGAAGACACATAACAGCATTGGTTTAAGTGCAATTGATCAAACATCATAACATAACATTATCAGATATTTTTTTAGGTATGATGCTGTGCTACTTTGATTTACAGAACATGTCTAATACTGCAAAATATATGCAACACAGGACAGTATTCTGTATGTATGTATATATGTATTTGCTAAACAGACCCGGGGAGAAATCCGTAGAGCAGTGCAAGAGATAACATCTATTTCCCTGTGCATTCATTTGCTCTGCAGGGTTCAGGGAGCCCCCAGAGATTGGTTGCTATGCGATGGCAGCCTCCAATAAAGATGTGCACGTGGGTGTGAATCAGCGAGAAGCGTACAATATCACACAAAGAAGAAGAGATGCTTTGATGCGCCTGCTCTTTCTCAAGAAGCATCTTTTTCCAGCTTTCAGCATGCTAAAGAGGCTTGCACTTGTAACTAGTCTTGTATTCTTTAAAGTGGTGTGATGAATTTGTTTTCAGATGAATCTTTGAATCATTGTTCCAGGATTTGGAGCACAGGATGTGTCAGCTGATAGTAGATGTGGTTGCATAAAATGTCTAAGTTTGGTGTATTGTAGGTTTTAATATAATTGTAGGAATATACATTTTGGGTAAGTACTTCAGGGTTTCTATGTAATTTAGATGCTGGAGGTATAAGAATTGTCGAACATAACAATAGGGTAAGAGGCCAAATATGAACTTCTATAACAATCACTGCAACAGTAGAAATATTCACCTTTCTTTCTTACCTCGTTCAAGATATCTTATCTGACTGACTGGAAGGTACTTACTGCAAATAAGTGACCGATAGCTACAGCAAAGCCAATGGAAAGGCTAGCAGAGCCTCCGAGGTCAGAGCGTTTAGGGTCACAGGTGGCGAACACAGTGAAGACCAGTTCGAATGTGATTAGGAGCTCCACAAGAAGAGCGTGTCCCAATGAGATGTTGGGGTTCACCTTGGAAACAGAACATTTACCTCATGAACTTTAACTGTAAAGTTATACACACAAATAGAAATGGTCAGGTTCTTACCGAGGTCACACCGAAGGACCCTCTGACAGCAGCAGGTGTGACTAGGTAGAGGATCGCAGCTCCTGTGACACCCCCGAGGCACTGAGCCAGCACATAGAATAACGCCTTGGCCAGGCTCAGCTTTCTAGTAACAACCATCGCTGCTGTGACCGCAGGGTTAATGTGTCCGCCACTTATATGACCAAAACATTGCACCATAGTGGCGATGCTCAGGCCAAAGCACAGGGAGATAAGGACTAGGTCAGCCGGGGGAGGCTTCTCCTCCCCTGCAGCCCAATTAATGGTGGAGCCCAGACCGAGAAGGACAAAGATGAGAGTGGCCAGGTATTCTCCAGACACAGCCCTCCAGAAGTCCTTGGTCCAGATCCCTTTAAATGCCACCATTATGCTCTGACAGTTACACCAGGACAGGAACCTCCTGGCGAAAAGAATAATGAGCAAAATGATTAACCTACTTATGTATTCCTGGTGTGTGCATTTGGCTGGAAATGTACTGAACCCTATCAGCATGCCTCTGGGCACAACATGTATAACTCCACTTGAGATATATAAGCCAGTGACTTTCCATCACAAAATGCCATACAAAGCATTCTTTAAACATTGTGTACAGGGGCAAATGATCGCACTTACAGTCAAAGCATACACTGTTTAATTGCTGTCAATCATTGAACTTTAACGAGGATGGATTATTTTTCACTATCAAGGATAAGGAGAACGTCATTAGCATACATTTGTGCATCTGCTCGGTTAATGTACATTCAGATAATTGTTTAAAACAATGAAATATCAGCATACCTCCAAGGCAAAAAAGTTTGATATCTTTAGTTATTTGTTTTCCCAGGTCAAAAGGCTAAAACTCACCCAATGCAATTTGTTCCCACTCTCTCTGTCCTGTATGTGTGTGCTGTGTACTCTGTCATAAGTCCTGGTGAGTTATTCAAGCAGCCGAGACATCTTTCCCTTGATCACATCTGAAAGTTGAAACGGCTGTGTGACCCTCTAGTACTTACAGAAAAGCAGCAGGCTGTGTGAGAGCAGGATTGGAGAAGAGAGCAGGTCTGTCAGATGAACATGATCCACACATTGTGCCCCGGGATTGAATCCAACAGCTTTATTAAGTTACTTGCAAGCAGGGCATCACCTCACGGGAATTAAACAGCCTGCACAGGGGGAGGAGCCATGAGATCTGCTTGCTGTGCAAACAGTTTCGCCGTTGCACAAAGTGAGATAGTAACTCAGTCAGCCTCAGCATCATATCAGAGCTTAGATAACACGCTGGAGCATGCACAATATTATATACAAAACCACTGCACAACTCCACATTAAATTATTATGCGGTCATTTAATAGACTTGTTAACTATCTTATCGTATATTATATTACTTACCCCATTCAAAAATTATTATCCTAGTGCACTTTTAGAAGATACAAGAGGATATTATTGAAGATGCAACATGCCTTGTGTTAGTATCAGCGGAAATCTCAGCAACTATTCAAGTACAATTATTAACTGTATGATGTTATGCTACTTTACATTTCTACCTCTCTACATTCCAGTTGAAAAATATTTTTAATTCATTTCATTTATCATTGTTAGATATATTTACTGTACAAACACATATAACCACAACATATCATCATTACAAATGATGAGGCATTGTAATAAAGTAGTACACAACATAGTATTTGACTTGTGACTTGTTACGGTGCATCCTGTCAGAGCCATCGTTGTTAGCTTTAATAATCAGAGTAAGCATGCACTAAACAATGTAAATGCAATCATGCCAGATCCCAATCTTAAATAAACTGGATGCAATTTTTCATGTAAATACTCTTTGCAACTAAAACATCTATGCTCATTCTGGCTTTTACTGGAGAATCTTAAACTATAAAATCATTAAGTGAAATATTTATCATCAATCGTCAATTTAATTGTCAGTCAGAGAGAAAGATTCTATGGCCAAAATCAATCAGCTTTGCTCTCTTTAGAGATGCTTGAGGTACTGAGGGAATACTTTTAAATGTAAAGCCAGTGACCCATGCAGCACATGTACGAAGAAACACAATGCATATTTACTTTGTGTGACCAAACCTAATGATGCATTCAATGAAATCTGTAAGTGACCTTGCTCTGAAGGAACAGTCCCTGGAGTTTTCATGCAGTAATTTGTTTCATGAGTTAATATTTGCCTTAAAAATCCTTCATGCGCCTTTAGGCCATCACAAGGCCAACACGAGCTATGTGCACCAACAAACAACAAAAAGGTCAAGAGGAAAGTGAAGGTGATTTTGATAAAATAAAAGGTGTGTTGGAAAAATAACTACTTGCGCTTCTTATCTTTAGCAAAATGCATTAAATGGGGTTTTCTTTTTGGAAATAGTTGAATAGATTGAACATAAACTTCTTTATATTCCTTATTTTTAAGTCTTTTTTTCTTATCTGTATTAACCATTGACGTGAATAAAATACAAATGTTTGCCCTACATGTGAGCAAAAGATAACATAGACATACACACACGGACACACACACATAGCAAACGTTTAATATGTGTAGAATCTGAACTTTATTGAACATGCTGTACATAAATGAATGATTTGTTGTGCTGCCAGTACTTAACCTTTGCTCCTAGAGATGGCCATGTGGGTGGTAGACGTAAACCTCTAGAATTTCAGCACCTAGAGGGGCTGTGAGGATATCATGAGTGCATACCGCAAACAACTGTGCATCACTATTAGAGTGACATGATCCTCCCTGTGATAGGAGTCATCATTTTTTACATTTCAAGATGAGTTTTTTTAGTCTCTATACGGATGTAAAGGACATGGGAGGAAGATATATCGTCGTCACTTGTCAGTCTTCACCAATGCCAACTTGTATCCTCTTGCACATCCAGCAAAAGCAAGAGCAAAGGGCGGCACCGTTTTCATGTTAAGAGAATCTTATATTCAAACATCCGCTTTACGGGGCCAGCTTGAGGTTGGGGAAATATAGTTTTACTTTATAAAAATGAGGTATTCAAGGTCAAAAGTTCTCTTCCAATGTCAGTGCGCCTTAGCTTTGACTTTCAATTAAAAAAGCAAACAATAAGTCAACAGCATGGATAAGAGAGCAAGCAGTGGCACCTTATACTCACCATACAATTAGATACAACATGCACCATATGCATAATATCAGAATTATGCATGAGATCTGGTTTTATTTACAATGGTAAATATGGCCACTAGGCTTGCTCATTTTGCATTGAAATTAAAATATGCACACTATACAAACATGCATATTAATGAACCACATTAGTAATTATAAAACAGTTTCTCAGTATCGTGCAGAGTTCTTTTCCTTTATCCTGTTTCTATAGCTCCTCCAGGCGTCACACACATCAGAGGAGTCACTTCTTTACTAATTAAAAGCTTGCCTTAATTCTACAGACTTGCATGCATTTAAATTACACTTGAGTCAATTAGTGTTTGTTGATACAGTGTGATATCTGTTTGATTAGAGAGCTGTCCTCCAGATAAGGTTACGTTGTTATTTGTTAAAGCGCAATTCTTAATTTTGGTAAAGTGATCTGTTAATATGGCACTGCTGCACAGCTTCGTAAAGCATTTTGAATTCTGTGCAATTTAAGTGAGTGGAGAACAACATCAATTTGCTACTGATCAACCAGAGTGTTTGTTCTTATCACTCAAATTATGTAAAGAAGCTATCGTACAATTGAATCATGTGCATACATTCTAACATAACAAATTATGAAACAGGTCAAATCAGTGTAATTCAAAACATATCTTTTTTTTATAAATATTTCAGACTGCCACCGTGGGGATTTACCAAAGGCAGCATAAGCAGAGTGTCTCTGGTAAAAAACATGTTTTCCTTGCTGAGTTAATAACGCCATGCTTCGTTAGACACAAGCTATCGCCTTTGTTAGCTCAGCACCGTGCCAAGTTTTCGACATGCCAGAGTGAAGAGAATCCCAACATTGTTATATAATCTATAGGCTTGACAGGGAGCCAAATCAGGGACCTCCTATTGAAAGACAGGACATTTTAAAGGTTTGATTCTTATTGAAGTAAATGAACCAAAGGGGAATCTGCCCCCATGCTCGTTTAACCTTTGACACAGAGAGAAAAACAAGCTGTTAACTGTAAGATCTGGTAATCCTGCAATCATGCAAGAGGATGGCACAGTTAGCATGTGCACGCATCCAGCACACATGCAACCAGAATAGTTTACCAGGGATAGTGAAGATGATTTATTCTTACAAGGCACATGAAGAAAACTTCCAGTGATTAGACTTCTCTATACAGTTAACGGCTGCATCTTCTCTCACTTCCTCTTGATTATGTCAAATAGATATAGCAGCAAAGAAAATCAAATAGATGCAGAGCCATTGGACTGAATGGGATTATGATACATGCACATGCAATGTACTCTAAAGCAGTGGTTCTCAACTGGTCAGGCCTCGGGACCCACTTTTTTCCTTGTCAATAAATCGCGACCTACAATCTTGAATCGCTCAAATCTATTCAATAAAAAATCAGCATACAATTGTAATTAAAGTGAAGTACATTGCATATATCCTTATATCCCTTCAAAGAACCAAAGTATGCTTTTAAAGAAAGTTTAATCTGATCGTGGTCATTAAGTTTATCAAAGTTGAACTGTATAACAAAAAAGGCACACTTTTATTCAATAAAAAGGCAGACTTGGAGCCAATCCTGCAAATTCACCATACGTGAAAACGTGTCATGCTGAAAACCCAGCCCCAGCAGGGGGTCTGGGGGATTGACCCCCCAGGAGATTTTTTGAAATACTAACATATAAACTACACATTCTGGTACACTGAGAATAAAATAACTAAATCTATTAATACCCGACATATTTAATAACATTTGATGCCATTGTTTGTTTTTCACTTTGTTCTGACAGCTGAACCTGCTGCTCCACACAGAGAGAAGAGCAAAGAGGAGATAGTCTGTGTGACTTACTTTAAATTGTGGGTAAGGATAGATAGCTCCCATTGTTCTGTGACCTGTCAATCATCAAACAGGGGGTCATATTTCATTATGTGTTTGTATCTGAAGTTGTATGTTATATGTTATATGGATGTATAAAGAATAGTTCTACCGCAAAGTTATTCTCCGTGGGGACTTCCGGCAACAATCTTGATTCTGATTGGCCAGAAGACTCGAAAAAACATCAGCGAAGATGTTTTATTGAGAAGATGATCACTACGTGACAGAAGTTTTCAAAACCGTTTATGGTCTACGGTACTTCCAGTCCAACGCCTACTGCATGCACAGCGCTACAGCCCGTCCACACGGCAGCCCTCCACACGCTTCCAATTCACTTTGAATGGGTGACGTCAGGCTTTACCGAACTGCATTGTGGTTCCGTCGCGTCGCCTCTGTTGTTCGCTTCAAAAGTTGAGAAAAGTTCAACTTTTCAAGCTTCGACGGAAGCGTCAGCCAATAAAATCATATGCCAGTACAAGCACTAGCCAATCAAACCGCATGCTTGTGTGTCCGGGGCAGGAGATTAATGCGATTGGTTGTTGGTCGCGTGCCAGACACGCCCACCGGCAAGCTTCAACGCCCGCGCCGGCGGGCCTACAAAATCAAACAGTTTTACTTTTTCCACCCCAAAAAAAAAGACATTCTTCCTTTTTCAATCTGTGGGCCCACTCCGAAAACCGGGTCCTGCGACCCCACTTTGGGCGGAACCCACCAGCGAGAACCAACTGCACTAGCTTACCCTGAATAGGAAGAAGCTTAACACAGCACTTTTGGCCGCCCTTTAAATTTCTTTCTTGAGTTCTTCAACGCTGATTTCTAGGCGGAACGCCACTGATCACGCCCACGCGTATTTTCCGATTTGCTCGGGAACAGGCCATTAAGAGGCCGCACCACAGGACATAACGGTCATGGTAATCAGCTACAGTATAACTAACTCAGATAGAGCGGTTAAGTCCAACACGACGCCGATATGGAA